TTCTTGACCAAGGAGTTTTCTCTCTTTGGGCAAATTATCCCCCATTGTCTGAGGTGAACACATACTCCAACTATCCAGTTGTTCTTTCTTCCTTCTACAAAATGTCCTTATTGAACATTATTTATGCTGGTATTGGGGATACAGCACTAGATATAGTCTCTGCCTCTATAGAGTTTATTTCAATGTAAGGTTTTATATATATATATATATATATATATATATCTCACTGGCCTCACTAACCCTAACTTTACTTTTTATTTTTTAAAGATTTATTTATTTATGCACACAAGAACTGGGGTATAGGCCAGAAGTGTGGGGGGTAAGAGGAGTTACCAGAGACTGAGTGGGGAACAGAACAGGCGGACCAACTGAAATACACAGCTGAGGGGAGCAGCAGGCGAGACAGGAGAGATCTGCTGTGCCATGTGGGTAGCTCCCTCGCCAGGGATTGAACTCGTGCTGCAGTGGCTGCCGACAGCTTCATAATGCTGGGTCTTAACCCCTTGCGCCACCAGCGAGGCCCCCACCCTAACTTTAATAGCACTCAAGCCGTTATAGCAGGAATTTAGGTTAAGTTACTTTTCGCCTAGCCATTTCTATTGGTAAAAAAGCCATAGCATGAGTCTGTTACTGAATTTTAAACTCTGTCTATGTCGCAGGAAGTAGTTAAATTGAGAGTTTCTCTGTATGTTGTACTGATTAATGCCTGGAGTTACTCTTCTGTGTTTCATGCAGGGATTACAAATGCCCTTTCAATTGGTTGTTTCCTTTCCCCTTCTTTGGAAATAACTTTTTTTTCCATTCCATTCATTTTTTAGACCTTTTGTTTTCAAGGCAGTTTTGTGTAGTATTGTTTCATGCCCAGGAGGCTATTAATATGTCTAGGGTACTTTTTTTAAATTTGATTTTTTAATACCAAGCAGCATTATAAGGAAATTAAAAAAAAAACAACAAAAAACCAAACAACTAAATTGCAGAGAATTTCAAACAAACACAAAAGAAAAATGAATCGTTTAAGGAATCATTGACCCTTCACTTAATTAACAACCCTCAACCCACAATCGTTCCTTGCCCTGTGTACACCTTCACCCTCTAACTCTACCCTGTATCCCAGATATAAATATTTAAGTATGTTTCTCTAAAAGATAAGGACTATCTCATAATCACAATGCTATTATCTTGCCTAAAAATGAATATTTATCTTACAGGGAAATATTTCAAAAGATAAGAGGAGAAAAATCCACCTATAAATAGTACCAAATGTTTTTGCTATTTTCATTTTTTCCCCCTTTCCTTCAGGTTTGACCATAAGTATACTGACATTTTGTAAAAATATTAGCAGTCTTGACTTCTTGCGACTTTTCTGGATATCAAATTTATGAGATCCTGGCCAACATCACCTCCTTGTCCTATCTAAGAGGAACAAAGCCTGTTCCCTTTAGCTGGACCATTTTGGACTCTGGATCATTCCCCTCTTCTAGCTACTGAAACTCCCTGTTCATTTAGTCATTGTAGGATCGTCACTGTTAGATGCTGCAGATTATAGTGGAAGAAAAGACAAACAAGGACCTAGGTTTTTTGGTTCCATTTCATAAAGAAGCAGGCGTGACATACATGGTGATACTAAAAGTCATTCCATTCTGATTGTGAAGGTGACCTTGAGGGAGGGACCTTTCAGCTCAGTAGGGAGGCCTTGGGCAGAGGGAAGACTGTGGCATGATGGAAGCTGGCTGATAAAGGAACAGAATGGAGACAGTGAGGCTGTAGTAGGGACCGAGAGGAAATGCTGAAGGGGAGATGAACCAAAGGAGGCTAGAGAAAATTCCTCCCTTTCTAGGCCTGCCTCTTCCCAACAGCCTTGGACCAGCTCCCGGGTCTGACTCCTTGGTCTGACTCTCACAGGAGTGAGTTCCAGTTCTGCTCTTGACTCTTAGCTACCTTGAAGTCATCGTGGTCAATGACTTTAATCTAAATGAGAGTTTAGATTTGAAAAGATGTAGACAGATCCTTGAATGCTGCCATCTTGGAAGAACTAATGATATTTATATAGGAGAAATAGGATGAAGATTAAAGAAAATATTACATCATGAAATAGCAGGACAGGAGTTTTTTCTCTTCTCTTTCTTTTCATAGTACCCTGCCTCATGCTGCCTCAGGAGTCCTCTCCTTGTGATTGGTCCATGCTGCTGTTGCTACTCCAGAGCAGAGCCCTGTGGGGGGCCCCTCCCTGCTGGTCTTTTATTTAGATCCTGACTTTGCAATAAGTTTTTAGTTTTATGAAAATTGAGATAGAAGTTAATTAAAAAATAGTGCCTATTTCCCCACCCCCATCCCTTTAAAAATCAGAGTACAGATGAGCATAAAGAAAAAAAAGAAATCCCATTTTACTAAGGAAACTATCTTTATAGTTTTGTATTCCATCTTCTAGATGTTTTACACACATATTTTTAAAACAAAAAAATGGGCAAATTACTATTTTTCATTTTCATTTAATGGCTCTTTAATACCTTTCCATATGTATGACTTTAGATCCACAACCGCTTAGTTTTGCAGAATTTTCCAATTGGTGGTGGTCCTCACCTTCCCGAGTGGACAAGGAGGCAAGTCCTCTGTATCCGACCACCTGACCCTTTTCCTGCCAGCCAGTCTGCCTGTGAAAGCCTTTGCTTTGCAGAAGTGTACTTCACCAAAGCCATATATTACCATCAGCTTGTTTTTCAGGAACTGGGTGGAGTCTGTGACTGAGAGAACATGCTTTTGTTTCTGGTATGTGGGGAGTTTCATTAGAGCTTTTCCTCTTCCTAATTATGTGACTATTGCTTCAGGGGTATCTGCTCCCAGCTTGTCACTCCAAGTTAGAGCTATCGAACAGTATGTTCCCCTAACCTGTGTGCAGATGTGCAGAGTTTTATCAGTGTCTGTTGTACTCAAGTATGAGAAACTCAAGTGGAAGCATTTTCTGGAAGCAAATATTCCATGTCTTCCCAAGTATGTACAGAAGGGTGGGAAGCAATGGATATTTTGTTTTCTTTAAAAACAAAACACATTGTCAACAAACATTACAAAATGGCATAAAAAAAGTAAAAGATCTCCAATACCCCTCTCCCAAACCTCCTCTGTCTCTTCTTTGAGATCATTATTATTATTAATAATTTATCATGTCTTTTGCCTTTAAAAACTTCTGATGAGTGGGGTCATAAAGTACTCATTGTTCTGTCACAAATGCAAACTCCAGTTTTCTTTGTCAAAAATGTTTTGTGAGTACATGGAAAGAATTGATATAAAAGTGGTTTAAAAATTAGTGGGAGGGGCCTCCCTGGTGGTACAGGGGGTTGAGCGCAGTGCTGTGAAGCTGTCCGCAGCAGCCTCTGCCGCACGGGTTCCATTCCCCAGCCGGCCAGGGAGATATCCCCCTGGCAGGGCAGACCTCTCCTGTCTCGCCCGCTGCTCCCCTCAGCAGTGTATTTCAGTTGGTCTGCCTGTTCTGTTCCCCATTCTGTCTCTGGTGAGTCCTCTCACCCTCCCGTGCCTCTGGCCTGTACCTCAGTTCTTGTATAAACAAATAAGTCTTTAAAAAAAATTAGTGGGAGACCAGAGTTGCCCTTAGGGAACTCAGGCTTCTGTACTGTGGTGTTGTTGGGGTACCAGGGTCAGCAGCAGCAAAATTGGACGTTGTTTGGTTTGTCAACAAAGTCTGTGTGCCAGGTTCTGTCTGATTTTTCCCTTGTTCCTTCCCTTCCATGCTGTGCAGGCCTATGTTCTGTCCCCTTTACATCTAACAAAGCCTGCAGTATGGGGATGTATTGAATGCCAGACATAATTGGGCTTGACTCTAGGCGTATGACTGTATGTAAGATACTTCTATGAACCTCTCTTTTCTCAGCTATAAGGTAGGGAAGGCAGTCACTGTGTCACAGAGGGAACGTGAAGATGAAACATGTAAAGAAATAGTTCTCACTTATGACAGTGACCAAAAAAATCTCCATTTCCTTTTCTCCTAGTTCTTGAGCCTGCCTTCTATAAAGTTGTGTTAGGACTTGTATATGTTGCCCTTCCCAAGGGTATCTGCTTTTCAACACTGCTCAAAGCTTTAAATGAAGGAATTAAAGAGAGATTCTTTCAGAGTGAAGTCACACCACTTCTCCTGGCTTTTCATGAATGGTCATGACACGTTGTGTATTCACCCACGTCCTTTTCTCAGAACTGGTCCCAGAGTCAGCTCTAACCTCAAGACAATTTGGCCAACATTCTTCCTCTAAGTATCTCAACCTCATGCATTTCAGGCCACGTTTCAGTGATGAGTTTGAAGTCATATGGAAGAACTAGTATAAGGAGGAGAAAGCATTCCCGAGAATATGAGCATTCAAACACTCTGCTTTTCAGGTACAACATTAAGTCCATCTGGTAGCTTTGTGAGAATTAGGAAAATTCCCTTCTGGAAGATGGGGCTCTGCAGATGAACTCCTAGGTGAGAGGGCAGTGTCTTGGTAGAAAGTAGAGAAAGGGGGCCTCCCTGGTGGTGCAAGGGGTTGAGTCTCAGCACTGTGAAGCTATTGGCAGTTACTGCAGCATGAGTTTGATCCCTGGCCAGGCAGCTGACCCACATGGCGCAGCAGACCTCTCCTGTCTCGCCTGCTGCTCCCCTCAGCAGTGTATTTCATTCGATCTGCCTGTTCTGCTCCCCACTGTCTCTGGTGAATCCCCTCACCCCTCCTCCCTACCTTTGGCCTACACCCTAGCTCTTGTATGCATAAATAAAATAAATCTTTAAAGGAAAAAAGAAAGTAGAGAAAGGTACATTTCCTCCAAGGTAAGGCTGCCTCAGTCATGGCAGGTGCAATTTGATGAGCAGAGACCAGGCTGACTTTCTGCCCACCTCTCTCCCTGCTGCCAAGTACCCTAGTACTGGGCGCAACCTGTATAACCAAGTACATGGGGACCATTATTATAGTTATTTCTAAAAGGCTCATTGTTTTTTCTCTTTTCCTACCCTCTTTTAGCATCCTGACCTAAGCAATGGAGAATCGACTAGGAAACTTCCTCAAGGTGTTGTCTATGGTGTGGTGCGAAGATCCGATGAAAATCAGCAGAAAGAAATGGTGGTGTATGGGTGGACCACCAATCAGCTGAAAGAAGAGATGAACTACATCAAAGATGTGAGTCATTTAAAGATTATTTTTCTGGTGTCTACTCTTTTTATAGCATGGAATAAAGAGGGTAGATGCAAAAGTATTACTGTGAATGTAATAATGCATTTTGGAAGATTTCTTGGTGTCATTTTGGATGATTTCTTGGTGTCATTTTGGATGGAAGTGTTTCTACAGATCTGGATGGTTATGCTGAAACACAGATGTAATTGACAGTGAGGTGAACTCTAAATGTTACCAAGTTGGGTTACTCAGGAGACCAAATGGCTTCCTTCTTTTATGTATTAAGTGGGACTCTAAGTGGAGTTGCTTATTATGTTGCATCCTCCTGATGTATGAGTTTGAACCAGTGTAAACATTTGAGTGCTCTTGGCTGCAAGTAACAGAAAATCCACTTCAAAAAGGAAATTTGGTCTTGTGAGGATAGTCTAAAGGTAGGTGGGGCCCAAGCAGGTGCTTCCAGGCTTAGTTTTACTTTTCTGAGTTTCTCTGCTTTCTGTCCTCTTGCAGCCTCAGGCTCACAGCGTCAGCTGAAAATATGCAGCGTCTGGAGGAAGCAAAGACACTTTGCTTCATTTCTGGATATTTTATAGAGAGTCTCCATTAGAATTCCCCTGATGTTTATTGGCCAGGATTGGGCCACATGCCCATTCTTAATCACTTTCAAGGGGAATGGGATGACCTGGACGTTTAAGGCCAATCAGTTGGGTTGAAATGGATTCTGGAAAGTCAATCAGAATAAACACTGTCCAACCCAGGCCAATTGATGCTGTTTCTTTGTACTTAATATTACATTTTTAACCTTTATCTTATGTTCTTTTGATAAAATTGGAAAATACAAAAGTGAATGAAGAAGAAAATAAAATCACCCATAATTCCATTGAACAAAAAGAATTATTAACATTTTAGAGCATTTCCTTCTAAGTTTTTTTCATTTCTTCTTATCCATCTATCACACCTACCTCCATTTCTTTTTGATTCTCTTCGTCTCTCTATATTCTTTTTGCCCTTCCTATAGGCCCCTGTCAATCAAACTGAGTGATTAGAGATGAAATGATACTGATGGACCCAAAATGCTGCCTATGGTTTATAAAAGCAGAACTGATATGGGGCAGTGGAATGTCTGATGGACTTTGATTAAGGGTCCAAAATTGGGATTCACTTTTTTTATGTATAGGTAGTGGGGGTTAGGAAGGGACCCTAAAGTCAAAACATTCAGTTCTGCATGCCATTTTTACTTGATGGGCTTGCAGATAAGACACAATGGGTTTGTATATAACTTCTGTATTTTGTTGTTTTTTTTTTTTTAGAGTTTCTTATTAAATATTAAACATATATGTGCTTTTAGGCAACTTCTTTAATGTGTCTTGAAAGATTTGGATACTTGTGTAATTTTGAGGCACAAAAAATAATATTGTTTGATTAAAAATAATAATAAATGCTTAAGAGAGAAAATTAAGAGAAGCCAGAAAAGCTATCCTTACACACAGACACAGCGAACACATGTGACAACCACAAACCCCCAAAGATAATTTTTAACCATTCAAAGTATTTCAACCTGATTTTCAAGGAGGAGCTTGAATATTGCTAGCCTTCTTGATTTTTTAAAAAAAGATTTATTTATTTATACATACAAGAACTGTGGTAAAGGCCAGAGGTGTGGGGGGGGGGGTCAGAGGATTCACCAGAGACAGAGTGAGGAACAGAACAGGCAGATTGACTGAAATACACTGCTGAGGGTAGTAGCAGGCGAGAGAGGAGAGGTCTGCTGCACCATGTGGGTAACTCCCTGGCTGGGGATCAAACTCATGCTGCAGTGGCTGTCCATAGCTTCATAGTGCTGTAACTAAACACCTTCCACCAGGGGGAAGGCTCCCGCCTCCTTAATTTTTTCTCATGGAAATACTTAGACCTACCTGATTTAAATGCCCCAGATAGCATGGCACTGCTTCAGAGGTAGATATTCTAAACAGAGTGGAGAGTTTCAAATTGCCCAAGACAAAGACAGCAGGTTCAGGCTGATTGCAAACCAGTGACGATAAATACCCAGATCATGGGGATGGTTCTGACCTGAATTGCCAACCTCCACTGTGATCTGCAACTTAAAATGAATTTCTAGGTCCCACCTTCTGTAGCTTGCTTCAAATCTATCAAATCTATTGCTGGCCTGTTCATTCCTGAGTCTGTTCATGGGACTTTTGCCCTCTCTTGTTTGTGGGAGACTCTGGCCCAGTTGGATTCCTGCAAGTTTTACCAGTGGAAGTGACACCCAAATCAAGATTCCATGCACACTAGTGAGCACAAAGAGCCAACCCAAAGACATGAATGATGGCTGTTCTACCTATCCAGGGGAAAAGTTGTATTTTTGACTGTATGTCTCTAAAATATTTGCAGCTAACAGCAAGAAAGTAGACTCTACTACTAGAATTCATCTGGGGAAGGCTTGGTGTCTTGACTTTTCCTGCTCTCTCCCTGAAATCTTCACCAATATCTGGTCACCCTAATAAATATGTAGTCTAATTTATAACAGTATGCAAACTCTGTAAATACAGCTTCAAGATTAAGTCTCCCCCTGCTGTCCCCTACTTACTGATCTTATTAACCAAAATGATAAGGCACCCACTAGCCTAGGCCTGATGTTCTGCAGACTTGGACTCTTTCCTGCCTTATGTTCTAGACATTAAAATGTTCTCTGCCCATTTTAGCAAAGACAGAAAATTAGAGGTTAATTTTGCTTTTTGTTTTTTGTCCTTTTAGTCAAGCCTTTACAGAATCAACTTGTTAAAAATTTTCTATTTATAAAAATGTGTAAGAAAAAGGACAAACCTTGCTCAAATGAGGTTTGGACACCTGTCAGTTTCAAAACACATTTTTTCTTCAGAGATACTTATTAAGATAATGAATATTTGCTAATAATTATATATACTCACAATGACTCCATTAGTTTCTAAGTATATATCAATAATGATCTCCCTTTATTTCGCAAATTCTCTCATTTTTGAGATTGTATTTTGTGTCATTAGGGTTTCTTAAAAGTATTGGAAATCACACATGAAAATGTTATAGTTTGATCTCTCACTGGTATCTTTGTGGGCTGCAGGTGAGAGCCACTTTGGAAAAAGTAAGGAAGCGAATGTATGGAGATTACGATGAAATGAAGCAGAAGATTCACCAGCTCACACAGGAACTGTCAGTAAGTCAATATTTCAATGACCTGGATATATGGAAGGGTGCTAAAACATCAAACTCCCTCTCAGCACCTACTGCCTGAAGATATTTCTGTTTATGATGGTCATTATGAATAGGGTCATAGTTTAAATGAACTGAAGGAATTTTATCATAGACTGAGTTTGTTGATTAAAGGAAAATTTTTGTGACAAAAAATAGTTTTCCTTCCAGACACAGAAACATCAATTCCAAAGAACACCTGCACCCCTATGTTTATAGCAGCACTGTTTACAATAGCTAAGCTTTGGAAACAACCCAAATGCCCAAAAATAGATGACTGGATCAAGAAGATGTGGTACATATATACCATGGAATATTACTCAGCATTCAAAAAAGATAAACACATGCAATTTGCAGCAACATGGATGGCGCTGGAAGGGATCATGCTCAGCGAAATAAGCCAAAAAGAAAAAGAAAAATACCGGATGGTCTCACTCATAGCAGGAATCTAGAAAACTTAAATAAGGGACCAGGAAAATGAATAACTATAAGAAAGTGAAAATCAAAATCAACAAAAAACTATGAACCAGAGACACTTTTAGGGGGGCGGGGTGGGAGGGGAGGGATTGGGGTCAGAATGGGGGGGCTGCAATTGTGTGGGGAATATAACAATAAAATTTATTAAAAAAAAATAATAATAAAAAAAAAAGAAAATAAAGAACTCAAAATTAAAAAAAAAAAAAAAATAGTTTTCCTTCCAAAGTCAGCAATAGATAAGAAAACTGGCTATTACCATTATGATTTAACCTTGCAACTAGCCAATGGAATTAAATAAGAAATAAATGTAGAGATATGAAAACAGGACAGGTAGATATAAAACTATCACTACTATACTATACTATACTTTAGTATACTATACTATACTAAACTATACAACTATGAAGTATATCATTAGATTCCCAGATAGCCCAAGTGAACCAGTGAGGAAAGCTACTGTAAACAATAAAAGAAGGTGTGAACTTGATCTCTGAATCCTATATGGTGTTGTAAACCAACATTACCGCAATAAAAAAAATACAAAAAAAATTCTATAAGGTAGCAGGGTAAAACATTTATAAATATAAACAAAGAAGTTTCAATATACCAACAGCAACTGGCAACAGTAAAACTGCCCCTTATCTAGGAGCAAACTTTAACAAATAGAAAGATATGTCATGTGGTTAGAATAAATCAAACATGATATGATGTGAGGACTATCCAAGTTACTATATAGATTTAATATAACCCCAAAATACAACAGCTTTTTATTATGTTGTGCTTCCATAATGGGACGAGGTGATTCCAAGGTCTGTAGAAAATAAATATAAAGAGTTGTGGAAATTCTGGAGGGCAAAAAGCAATGAGAGTGGGTAGCCCTATTGCTATTATAAGAAACTGAAAAAAGAAAGAACCCTGAAAACTCCGAGATTGGAACAGTATAGCATTGGCATGTTAATCAATAGATATTAGTGAAAAAAAGCCAGAAATATATTCTAATATATGACGAATGTAGCCTCTCAAGTAAGGTGGGGAATAGGAGTAACTATGTAAGTTGGGAAAATTTATATGCCTTTGAGACAGACTTAATCCTGGATAAATTCCCAATAGATGAAGACTTATCCTAAAAACCAAACTTAAAAGGATCAGAAGAAAATATGTGAATTCTTTTATATTCAGGGCAGAGAAGAACTTCTGTGAGTGTGACATGCATTCCCAAAACCACAAAAGAAAGTGTTGATAACTTTGAATGCATTAAGATGGAAAATAGTGCTGGCAAAAGCACCAGAGTCAAGTCAGATGACAGACCAGGAAAAATATTGCATCATACATAATAGGCTAATTTTCTGCATATTTAAAGAATAGCCATGATTCAAGAAGAAACAGGCTACAACGCATAATAAACCAGATGTTTGTAGCAGATCATTTGTAATAAAGATGAGGAACTCTAAAATGTGTAGTGAGATGTTCTACCTACTCTCAATAAGAGAAATTGAGATTAAAACTGATAGGATATATAATTTTTCTCTATTAGAGTGGAGACAAGATACTATATGAGCAGTGCAGTGGAGAAACAGGCAGACTGATGGTTGGAATGTCATTTTATACTACTCATAGGGAGAGCAAATTGGCAAAGTCTACCAAAATGATAAATGCATTTCTCTTGCTCCAGCAATTCTATTCCTAATAATTTGTTCTATACATAAAATCTCACATATATGAAATGACATTGTATCGACTTAGTTATTAAAGCATGGCTTGTGATAGTAAAAAGATTGGGAATCTCAATGTCTATCAAAATGGGGAAAGTAAGTTTTATTTCTACAATAGAATATATGGAGTAGTTGGGAGGAAGGAAGAAAGAAACAAGGGAGGGAAGGACGAAAAGAAAAGACCTATTAGGCACTTCAAAGAGATACAGGAAAATTTCAAAGATGTAGAGTAGATGGTGAATATACAGGAAAATATGTATAAATGTTCCCGTTTACGTAAACTAGGAGTGAGATATAAATGTACCTAAAGTGTTTTTTTTTTGTGGGACCCTTGCCAGTAGCTGGGGATCGAACTGGCGCTGCAGAGGCTGCAGGCAGCCTTGCAACCCAGCGTTCAATTGCTGCACCACCAGGGGAGGCCCATACCTAAGGTGTTTTGTGTGTGCACTAAAGGAAGTAATTAGCAGTGGCTCCTAATTGAGGGGCATGGGAAGGGGGCAGGGTGATTACTGAGCAGGTGGGACAGAAATGAAAGGGAGATTTATTTTCTTGTGTACCAGTCATACTTTTATTTATTTTTTATTATTTTTTAAATTTTTTTACATCATTGTTCATTTTTAAATAGTATTTGCTTCCTCCCACCCCCTCAGGTGTAGTCCCCATAGAGTTTCCTTCCCCAATGCACCCGTGCACCATCACCTCAGTCCCCTGTGCTCCTCCCTCCCTCCCTCTCATCCCTCTCCCTCCTCCTCCCCTGCAGGATGTCTCTGGTTTATAATTGTCTGTTTTTGCTTTGTTGTGTTTTGTACTGTTATTATTTTTTTACACTGATGTCTTATTTGGTTTCTCTATATTCCTGCTATAAATGAAATCATCTGATATTTTTTTTTCTCCTTCTGCCTGTCATACTTTTTAAATCTCTGAACTATGTGAATGTATTCCCGACTCAAAAATTGAAGAAAAAAAGTAACTATCCTCTGTTTTAACCAATCTAATGCTTGTGAGAAAAAGTTTTGATTTTTTTTTTAAGAAAAAATGCCCATGTGTAAAGACATTTTTCAAAAGTCTGTGTATAAGGACATACTTTCCATTAGCATTAATATCTGCATGAAAGAATCACAGTTACAGCAGTCATAGAATATAACGTAGTTTATGGCTGAGTTGGGAGATTATCTGCTTAAGTAAACTATACTGCCTTGATTATAGGGTTTGTGGTATATAAGCATATCCACCTAGCTTATTCTCATTGGCATGTAAGAAGAGATGTGAAATTCTCACCTACTTATGGAAATTTGCTTTTCATCCACTGACAATCACTAACAATGGTAATTAAAGCCATTGATTGCATTTGCAATAGATTCGTAAACCAGTTCTGTCCCTTGTTTTCTTTCCATTGCTATCTCCTGCACACCCTCATTTTCTCATGCTAGACTGGTCAAAGAAACTCAGCCTCTCTGGCTGCATTCTCTTCCTCCCCCAGGCCACACTGCACATGACAGCCAGATTAAGATTGCAAAATTATTGCCTTGTCAACAGGTCCCTAAGCAAGAACATGCCACTTGTTCCCCTTCCTATCCTGTTGTTTCAGCTCTCTTTTCCACTCCCCACGGTGCACGTCCTCACTCTGTCATGCCTGGCTGTCTGTGTGGCTCCCACACAGGGGTTTCCCCTTGAGGAAAGTATGCTTGTCTTCCTGCAATCTGGGTCATGCAGATGCTGACTTTTACATTTGTTGATATGGATGTGGCTAGTATCAAGAGAAAGTTCTAGCCTAAGCAGAGATTGTTAAAGATGTGTTTGGTTGGTTTTGTATAACCATTTCCTCAATCTGTCTAGGTTTCCCAGGCTCAGCAGGACTATCTAGAGAATCACATCCAAACGCAGTCATCAGCCCTGGACAGTTTTAATGCCATGAACTCAGCTTTGGCTTCGGACTCCATTGGCCTGCAGGTATTTGTCTATTTGCTGTTAGACTGGGTGCCTGCAATTATAGTGCAAGCAAGCCTAGGATAGGTGTGGATCCTATCCTACGCCTTTGTAGAAAGGCCCCTGCTCATTTTATTCGCAATCCTTTTAGCATGGCCCCTGTGAAGACTGGAGGCAGAAAATGGTAAAGGAAGCTGAAGGGTGTGCTTCCAAGCTAAGACTGTAACCGTTGGAGTTGCAATTGTGTTAGCCCTTGTTAAAAGGGGGACTTTAGAGACTGATTTTAGTGCTAGAGATGTCAATATCCTTGCTTCATCAGCTCGCTTTCCCTGAGCCCTGGTGTTATAGGAAGTTCCTCCCAGTTCCAGCAAAGATAGACTTAACCAAAGGCAATCTGTATTCATTTATGGCAAGTAACTCCTAAAGGCTGTTAAGTACCTTTTCCTAATCTAGAATTATTTTGCATGAAAAGAAGTTAGTCCAAGGAATATATTGTAGTATGAGACATGCAAGCCAAAAGACCCAGGATCCTTAATTTGTGCAATTGTCACTAATCCACTTCAAGAGGACTGGTGTGCTGATTGATTTGATTTGTTAGGAGTTAACCACTCCAGTGCTGTCCACTGTTATTATTCTAACTCAGCCCCCATGAAACATGCAAATTAACTTGAAAATGTTTTTTAAAAAGCGTATTCACCTGAAACAGCTTCTCTCGACTTTTGTTCTCAAATATGCAAACAATAGTTTCTGCACACTACTCCAGCTTTATTTGGCTCTTTCTTTTTACCCTCCTCTGGAAAGTTCCACAGCTATTTCAGTCCTTTCTGGTTCAGTATAAATAATTTATTAGATAAGCAAACAAATTTTCATGTTGGGATTACCCATTTCCTCTAGAACCTAGTTGGCAGCGTTGCCAACAAAGCTAGGCCCCTGTCCCACAGTGCGTCTGGGTGGGCCTGGTGTTTGGATTTGCCTGGGAGACCCATTTCTGGTTAGGCCTCAGGTCCCACCCTTTTCCTGGCTCTCCTTAGTGCATGCCAGTTTTCCCCTGGCTGTAGGCCAAACTCTGCTTTAGGTTAGGCTGAGTCAGTAGCCTTTGTTACCCCTTCCTCCTGCCATTAAGAGGTAGCCAAGGCTCTCTTTCCCTTCTCTGTTGGACATCTTCTCACACCCACCAGGAAATGCTATACTTGCCCTGATTTCAGACTTGGTTAGTATCTGTATGAAGTCTTAGGTTTTTCTTCCTTATCATACTTCTGCTGATGTTCCAGGTATTCACCTTCAGGAGTCAGCTTTTAGAATTGGGTCATACCTAATTTTGGGAACCTGACTAATTTCCTACTTATCATCTAATCTCTTGGTCCTGGCCAGACAGAGGAGCCTTATAACTAAAAGATTAAACCATTGTTTATAAAGAAGAAGAAAAGAAAGGCACCATCTTACAACTGAACTAGTCTGGAGATTAGTTAATTGACTTCTTATTTCTGCAAGGCCCCAACCTCTTCCATTGTTCCATTTTCATTATTATTGACAGCAAGATCTGACCCTTGGTTTGATTTGATAAACTAGCAGAGCTGGAAAGAATTGTTGAGATGGTCTCCAGTCTCCTTGTTTTATGGATAAACAAACTGAGACCAACAGAGAGAAATGACTCGAACAGGTTTCTCTCTAGTGGCAGAGCGAGACCTCAATGAGCACTGGCCTCTTGGACCAGATTGTACCTTCTTTGAGCATGAGTATCTGTAAATCCAGGGGGGCAGAAAGGGGTTTTAAGGCCAAGTAGTTTGTAACCCTTTGTAGCTCGAAATAGTCTGTGATTCCCTGCTTTAAATGGCTTCAGTATTTTTTCTAGTAACTATTTCCTACCACTGAAAATTCTTTTTCCTGATTCAAGTAGGTTTAGGAATGAGAGTCTTCTTATCCAGTGTGAAAGCTAAGGAAATGGAGAAGCTTCAGAGACTCATCATTTACACAGAGGACAATAGTGTTAGCAAATATTTTCAATACCAGAGTTTCCAAATCTAATTTGGAGTAGTATATGACTTGGGGAGGTGATAGAAGGTGACCGTAACCAGTGTCCAGTGACAGGAGTTCTAGGTTATAGAAGCTATTCCTTGTAAGGAGAATAGAAACCAAAGCATTAAATAGCACAATTTTAATGTGAACATTCTTGGCCCAGTGGGTGGCCTGTAACAATAACCAACAGGCTTTTGATACTTGTCAAGACACTTGTCTGAGTCACCTAACTCCATTCCCTGGCACACCTTCATTACCACCCTTCTCTGCCTCAGGGAAAGGTTATTCTGGCAGGCGATCTAGAAGTACAGAAGTGACAGCCTCTTGAAGAAAAAAGGGGACTATTTCCATTCTATAGAACACATCCTTTGTTTTCTGATTTCATTGTGGGAATGTGGAAAATATAGAAAACACAAAGAGAAAATATTCCCCATAATCCTATCACATGGTGACAGCCATTATTTGAATTTTGGTGAATTTCCTTTGAGTCTTTTTTTCCCTATGTATAAATATAATTGACTAAATGCACTCTTTTTTTTTTTTTTTCCAAATGGGATTGTTCTATGCTTACTATTTTCAAGTCTATTTTTTTTCATGTGAAATGATGTATTATGAACACTTTTCCTTGGAAAGACTCCATTTTAATCCATTCCCATCCATCCTAACCTGTGCCATGTGATATTGGCAACAACTGTGGGATGTGTTATGGGCTCAGCTTACAGCCCACCCACTCACCCGCGGGGCAGTAAACCCTGTGGTGATCACTGTGTGAGCCCTCAGCCCTGCACACACCTCAGGCATGCAGGTGCTGTGTCCTAACATCCCCTCTAGTGGTTAATGGCAAAATGATGCCCCAGTACATAGACCAGGCTTTTGCTCACCACTAGATGAGTTTTGTTTTTCTTTTTATCCCAACAGAAAACCCTTGTGGATGTTACTTTGGAAAACAGCAGTATTAAGGACCAAATCAGAAATCTGCAGCAGACGTATGAAGCATCCATGGACAAGCTGCGGGAAAAGCAGAGGCAGCTAGAGGAGGCACAAGTGGAAAACCAGCTGCTGAAAATGAAGGTGAAGATTCCTTTGTCTTTCCTTCTTTTCTTTCTCCTCCCATCTTCAACTCTCCCCTTTACTCTGTTCTCTCCTCCCTTAGATTTTCTCTCCCTTGTGTGGCCACCTCCATACGGCTTGGCCACGTAACTATCAGTTCAGATAGGGGGTGCCACATAAATGCCCAATTTGGGTACACCTTCCTTGACCCCAGGGGCATCAAGAGCTGCTGAGACGTCATCATGGCACTGCTCTTATGGGCTGCCCACAGGTCTGGACTTCAGAAGCTTCACTGTTTAGATTTTCTCTAAGGTCCAAGGTCTTTAGGTCTTTCTATTTGGTTTGGCAAGAAAGCTGCTGAAGGGCATGCAGGAAGAAAATAGGTGGGTGACCAAAGACTCTGGGGGAGTTCCCTCTAGCCCCCCAGGTTGTGCTTATTCCTCAGCCAGGCTCCCAATGCCCCTTCTGTATTTGAAAAATGGATAGATTTCCTGCCTAGTGGCAGGAGTAGACCCTTGAATGCTCACAGAAGGCACACAACAAATTATTTCCTGATTGAATTCACTTTTATTTAAGTCTGTGGTTTTCAAATGATGGTCAGCACAGCTTTGGGCTGTCCTAGAGGAAAGTGTCTTATGGGTAGTATATCCATGTAATTTATTGCTCAAATCAGAACATGTTTGATAGTAAAAGGTGGTGTTATTAATAGTTTAGTTAAGAAAACAGACTTGACATGTGGTGCCCCCGATGTGCTGCCTCAGGGCTGACTCAGTGGGGAGAGCAGCTGCCACACTGTGTGCTTAGTATTTGTGATAGCCATCTGTGGCTAGCTGTGCTAGCCCAATCCAAACACAGCCACCCTGGGAAGGGACCAGGGGGAGATCAGCACCTCTTTGCTTTCACTTCAAATAGGGCAGTTCATCTCTTTACTGTTTCATATATCTATTTCTGAGTGAGTTACTTTGGAGGAAAATAAAGGGGTATGTTGCTGAGAAAGGTCTGACATGACACTTTTACGTCTTTGGCTTTGGAACTTTGTCCACCATTCAGTCCACGCATATGTATTGCGTGCCTACTCTGTCTCTCCTGTGCATTCTTGTCTGTTCCAGAGGTGGCATGGTGTCTGGTGCCCAGGGACATTACTAGTTTGATAATCTAGCTGTTTCCATGGAGACCACACCCTTAACTCCAGCCTATAATTTCCTGTTTTAGAGACTAATATTTCACTTTACCCCCAAAATAAATAACAGTTATTTCATGTGACCTGAATGCAGAGTAGTAGGATTGAGGGACAGAACACTTTCTAGACGTCTACATAGTGGAATGGGGTGTTTTCTCAGCTGATGACAATTTCTGATCAGGGTTTCCCCTTTCTTGGCTTCTTGGTATCAAAATTTGCCAGTGATGAGAAAGAATTGGCATCAAGAGACACTTTTATCAAATCTTTGATGTAAATGTAATGTAACCTACTGAGGTTGACATATACCTCACTTACCTGGTGGTGCCATAGACAGCAAACTCAGCTCTTTGGAACAAACAATAACCTGGAAGGAGTGCATATAAACAACCTTCCATAGCTTGAAATCAATGGCATGCGGTTCACAGGTGAGGATGGGGCCTGGGCAGAAAGGAAACACCAGCTGCCTCCACCTTAGTCTCTGGCACACAACTCTGCTGACTTTCCCTCATCTCCTTGCTGGGCCCGTGCAAGCCACCAACTTAGTGTTCCCCAGATCTGCGTGGAAGGTTTCCAGATGTAACATTAGAGAGAGCATGAGTATAGAAAGAATGAGACCAATTATCCTTTTTTGGATGAGAAGATTTCTTATATCGGATTAACCTAAGTCTTTCCTGGAGGCCCATAAGCCAGTGCAGCTGATGGGACAGCTTCCTCATGACCAGCTTCTCTTGCAAGGCCTTCCTTCTTTTCTCACTTAATTTTTTTTTTTTAAGTAATGCATGCACATAGAGGGTGAGGGGAGCAAACAATGTGAAGGTAATTGAGAAATACACCTGCCTCCCTTTACACTCCCACCAGCAGCGTGCAGATTCCAATTTCTCCTCATCCTCACTGACACTTGCTATTTCCTTAGTGATTACAGACATTCTGTACTGTGAGGCAGCATCTCACTGTGGTTTTGCATTTTCCTGATGTTGAATGATGTTGAGTATTTTTCTTGACCATATTGGTCATTTGCATGCATTTTTTGGAGTGTGTCCATTCAGATCCTTTGCCTATTTTTAAATTAGTTATAGTTTATTATTGAATGGTAAAAATGACTTACCTATTCTAGATATGCATTCTTTATCTTATGTTTGGTTTGTCCATATTTTCTCTCACTCTGGGGATTATCTTTTTACTTTCTTGATGGTCCTTTGAAATATAGCTATTTTTAATATTGAATATGAATGAAGTCTACTCATCTCTTGTTCCTTGTGATTTTTGAGTCATGTCTAAGAAGCCATTGCCTAACTCAAGGTCACAAAGATATGCCTTCTGTTTTCTTCTAAGAGTTTTACAGTTTTAGCTTTTTACATTTAGACTTTTTATCCATTTTGAGTTAAGTTTTGTGCATGATGGGCTAGGTGTCTCATTCTGTTCTTTCCCATGTGGCCAATCCAGTTGTCCTGGCACTATTTGTTGAAAAGACTATTGTTTTCCCATAGAATGGTCATGGTAGCTAATTATTTGAAATTTGATCTTTTCATAACAAGTTAATTATTTACTTGGTCCAAAGTCAGATTTATTTTATTTTTTTAAAAAGATGTATTTATTTGTGCATATAGTAGCTGGGGTGTATACCAGAGGTAGGGGTAGTGGTGGTGAGACGATTCACCAGAGACAGAGTGGGGAGCAGCCAGCAAGGCAGGAGAGGTCTGCTGCGCCATGTGGGTAGCTCCCTGGCCCGGGATCTAACCCAAGGTGTAGTGGCTGTGGATAGCTTGGTAGTGCTGAGACTTAACCACTTGCACCACCGGTGGCCCACCAAAGTAAAATTTATAAAGCAATGTATAGTCAGAAACATAATATCTTAATCTATAATATTCCCTTTCCTTTCTTATTCTCTCCTTCCTCCTCTAGGTAACCTTTTTATTTTTCAACTTTATAGTTGATCCTACTCTGACCCAATCTTAATAATGTAGTATTCTTACTTTTAAGTCAACAACAAAATACTCAAGAATTCAAAAAAATTGTCCTTCTTTGACCAGTTAGGGTGTGGACATATTATTTATAAAGGTTTGTTAAACTGATAGAAGAAAAAAATAGAAAAAAAATGATAAAATTTCAGGATCTTAAGAACATTAAACAGGAACAGGTAATTGAAGAAAGGGGTTAAGAAGGCAGTGGAGCTGGGGCACATTATAGAGTGAAGTCAGTTTAAAAATGGCTAAACTTGGGAAACAGGCTTGAAACAGGTTAATTTCTGATTTTTGAAACTTCATTTATGTCAGTCACTTTTGTCTTAATAATGTTTTGATAAATTAATGTAAAGTACATTTTTCTCTCGGTGTTACCCACTCACCTCTTTTCCTTCTTCCTTCCACCCCTTTCCATTAATTAGTCCAGTGGCTTTTCTCTACCTCAGAGCCCTCATGAATGGCTTCACTGTGGCTGTGTGTCCAGACATTGCACATATGGCACGTAAAGTGCTGATTCCCCTGAAATCAGCAGAAGCACTTAAATGAGTCTCTTTATAGGTGGAATGCTCTCAAGAAGCCAATGCGGAGGTGATGAGAGAGATGACTAAGAAGCTGTACAGCCAGTATGAAGAAAAGCTGCATGAAGAGCAGCAGAAGCACAGTGCTGAGAAAGAGGCTCTCCTGGTGTGTATGCTGTAGCCGAGCGCTTTCAGTTCACTGTCGTTGGTAAGGTTTAAGTAGTATGGTTTCTGCTTGGAGGTGAGCCTGTGGACGTCAACAGCATGAGCACTGAAGGAATGTATCCATTTGCTCATTTATTCCCCCCCCTTCCTTTATTCATACCCTTGGAACAGCCCCCAATCTCTCTCTATAGATACTCCCCTCTCTTTGTAGCTAGTCTGCCCATTTGCCAGCGCCCGAGCATATTCTGAATTTACCACTTTGCCCTTCCACATTCCATTTACTCCTCTTTCCCTGAAACTTCCTCTTTCCCTGAAACTTCCTCTTTCCCGTCCTTTGATCTGAACTTAGCTCCCTAAACGCCTTGAAAATGCCACCCTCTTTGTGAATAACGCCCTTCCCATTCACATAGCTAGAGGCATCTGTCCTTGGCAAGCCACAGCCCCTCTCTCCACTCTTTTGCCGAGGACTCTGTTGTGCTTTTATTAGAATTGGGCTGTGTGCTTCACATGCTAGCGTTCTTGGGAGACACCACCCATTTCTTGAAGCCATGCCTCCATAGCTGCTGTTCTTGCAGGTCTAGCAAATGTGCTGACTGCATGGCTTGGTTTTCTTCTTAGGGGTGAGTTGGTGCTTTGCAGTAGAGGAGATAGACCTGGAGTTTCTGCATTCATTTACAGATCTGGCCCTAATTCTCTTTACATTGTTGGCAAATATAGTAACACTTTGAGTGTTAGTCAAGGCTTAGATAACATTTGCAGGTTCTTTTTAGACAAAAGGGCTCAAGGGGGAAAAGGAGAAAAAGAAATTAACTAGGTCCACTAAAAAGTTATACACTGTGTCCTTATCCTCAGGTGAGAACCAGAATCATGGAAGTGGAGCTCACCATCCGTGAGACAATTTTAGGCCCCCAATTTGTGCTTTTAAAGAGACATCATGCAAGGCAGGCATCAGCAAGGCAGAGCACTCAGACCCTAATTGGTAGCCTTGGGACCCCATGGCTGTGCTGAGAGGAGTGTGTTTCTTTTGCAGGAAGAAACCAATAGTTTTCTGAAAGCGATTGAAGAAGCCAATAAGAAGATGCAAGCTGCTGAGATCAGCCTAGAGGAGAAAGATCAGAGGATTGGGGAACTGGACAGGCTAATTGAGCGCATGGAGAAGGTAATAATAGACACAGCTTTGGGCCCTTTGCCCATTTGCCCAGATGCCCTTGCATTTCTACATTTCCCCTGCAGGCTGTCTGAAGGAATGAGAAGTCCTCAGCACTATCCCTCTTGTGCCTCCAATTTATGATAAAAATATAAAAAGTCAGAGTGTAAAATAAAGTATGAGGAAGTCCCACAAAGTTCTGTCTTTTCCCATGGTAACTATTCTGATGTCTTAAGCAGTATTAGTTGTGAAATTATTTACAAACCTTAATATTTGGCAGCTGACTTTGCCTACTTGGGGTCTCAGGCATGAACTTAATTTATAAGTTGAGTAGTGAGGCCCTTCATAGATGTTACATCAGTACCCCAAGCCTGTTGTTTCTGGGGCAAGTGCCCAAAAGGCTTGCTTTCTCTGACACGTCAAGTGGGGGACAGTGCATTTCTATGTGGATGTGGATTCAGATGGGAGGGTGGGGATGGGGGGAGGTGTGTGGAAGGTAGGAGCTTTGCTGGGATAATGAAGCCTGTCCAGAGAAAGGGAGGAGGCTGGGAATTATGCAGGAAGTGAGGAGAGGGAAGAAAGCATGGGAGAGAGGAAAGAGGAAAAAGAAGGAAGCAAAGGAACAAAAAGGAAGGTGACCTTCAGCAGGTGACAGCTGACTTCTGGGGGACGAGAGGCGGTTTAGGGCCAAAGCTGTGTTTGGTTCCTGGAAAATGACTCTCTAGTACTGTATGAGTTTGTAGAACAGCAGTGACCTGCTAAGGCTGTGACCTGTTAACATCCTGTAACTCCTGCTGATGCAGAGACATTTCCAGGCTGATGATGGAGGAGGGGGAATAACCATGTGAGCAAGGTCAACACCTGGGCTTCCAAATGGTTCTGAGAAGAGGTCTCCTTCCCCTGATGTCTGCAACATAAGCCCCTCTACAGCCCCCTGTCCAGGCGAGGTGTAACCTGGTGGGACCAGCATTAATTCAGTGCTGTGGAGTTCCAGAACCTACTGGGCACTCCTACTTTAAATAGTATCTTTATTTGAGAGGACTTGAGCAAAGTAAAGAGTCAATTATAGTTGCATCTCTAGCCACTGGGGATATAGAATCCAATCTTTTATTGAAGAGGGGGAAAGTGGCATGTTAAGGATTAATGTCAGTGTTTGCAATGGTGCTGGAAAATCCCTAGAACTTGGATAAACTTTCTCCCACATTCTGCTCTCCTGCAACAGCAGAGCATGCTGGTTAATGCAGACTCCCTTTGAGGGACAGATTGTCCAATAGCATAAAGAAGCAAAGTGAAAAGGCAGCATGGGAGAGGTGCTTTGGGCAGAAAAGTCTCTTACAGAGACTGTCCGTGTATTGATAGTGGTTAAAATACAGGTTTTCGAACCATATGGACTGAGGGTGAAAATCTTGCCTTTCTAATTGCAAGTAGTTACTTGACTTTTCCAAACTCAGTTCCCTCTTCTGTAAAAGGGTGATAATCATAATTCATACTCTTGAGGCTTTTGTGAGGAATAAATGAGAAAAACCCATGCAAACTGCTAAGCACAGCCTGGCATAGAGCAGGGACTCAAAAATGGGTTGTGTGGCTCAGATTTTTATTGTTCTTATTACAGACTTGTTACATGTCTGTCCCCTCCTCAGCTATTTTGAGCTGGACCTGTTTTATTTTTTATCTTCTTTGTACCCTGGGGATTTTGAAAGTTATAGTTCTCAGCTTTGGGCCTCTCTGGTGGCACAGGGGTTAGGTCTCAGCACTATCAAGCTATCACCAGCCACTGCAGCATGAGTTCGATCCCTGCCAGGGAAGCTACCCACATGGCGCTGCAGACCGCTCTTGTTTTACCCGTTGCTCCCCTCAGCAGTGTCTTTCAGTCGATCCGCCTGTTCTGCTCCCCACTGTCTCTGGTGAATCCTCTCATACATACACACACACACCCCACCTCTGGCCTATACCCCAGTTCTTATGCATACATAGATAAAAATAAATCTTTAAAGTTCTCAGCCTTTTCCCATTGATTTCCAAATGGAGTCTGAAAGAGAGGCCAGTGCCTGGGAGGTAAGGGAGGTGTGAGGTGACCCTCCCCACCAGTATTTCCACATAAAACCTGCCCCAAGTTGTGTTGCTTTTTTCTTTAGTAATCGAAAGTCTCTTGTCATTTCTTGTCCATGTAGGTTAGAGAAATGCTTGTTTTCTTTAGCTAAGTTTAGGTATACCAGTTTACTGCTCTTTCCACTTCAGGGATAAATCTGTGAGAACAGGAGTCTTGCCAGGTCTCTAATATACACTGTGTGGACATGCTGTCCACACAGCACGAACTGTCCATGACCTGTGGCAGTGTTGGTTCCTGTTCTCAACTATTTGGGGATTTTGTTCCAGGACAAACTGCACTTTTGAATGACTGCTCTACTGTATATCTTTGTTTACTGTTTCTCTTTTTTGAGTGTTATATTGGAAACACTCTTTTTATGATCAGTAAAAATCTTTTTTATTTATTTATTGTTTATTTATTTTTAAATTTAAATTTTATTTTTTATATTCCCCATACAATTACAACCCCCTTATTTCGACCCCAAGCCCTCCTTTCCCTGCCTCCCCCCACCATGATCAGTAAAAATCTTTAAGGAACCTGATTTATCAGGGTTCCTTCTGCAGAACAGAATAATATTTTATGACTTGATCTAGGTGGTGGTTTCACAGGTGTATACAATGTAACAAATTATTGTGCGGTGTGCACTTAAGATTTGCTATACCTCAACTTAAAAAAAAAATAGAAACTTGAAGTGTGCTGTAAGTTAAACCTTGCCTCACTTTATGAAAACTATTATTTCAGGGCCAGTGTAAACTTGCAACCAGTGGCAAATGACAGGTGGACAAGGGGAACTGTCTGCACAGGCCTGGCAGTAGATGTACATTTGCTCCCTGTGGAGATCAAAAGTAATAACAAGAGGGTCTGGGGAAGGGACTGCAGGTGCCATGTCCTATGTGAAGGTGACAAGATGTCGGTGAGGTAGTCCAAGAGGCATGAGGTAGATACAGCGTTCAAGCAGAAGCAGAAAGAGCAGAAGAAACTTAGAGCCAAAAGTGAAGACTTTGGGGAAAAGCTCCCCCCTGGCCACAGATGGAATTAAGAAATCTGACAAAAAGTAAGCTGTTCCTGAGGCAATGGTGATCCTTAATTCCATTTGTGTTTAAACATCTGGATTTTCTGCCATCACATTTGTTATCAATAGCTAGAGTTAAGAATAAACTTTTGTAAAAAAAAAAAAAAAAATCGTACACTGGCTCATCTTCTCTTGTTCTTCTCACTCAGCCATTTCTGTTTTAGCTGTGAGGTCAGAGTCAACCCAGCCCAGATTCCTGTCAAAGTGTGCTTGTGTTCAGTCTTTCTTCTATTGTGAATTCTATACCACCTGGTGTTAAACCAACTCATTTGAAATGGGGAAACAAAAAACCCACCCAAACTCACCAAGAACAAGGCTCCACTACAAGTCTTCTTTTATGGGTCTAATTACATTGATCATAATAATACCTTGCTGCCAGGGCAAGCTGCCCCTCTAACTCTTTGGTCTACTCTTACAGCTTCAGAATTTGTGGGAGTTAAATTTTCAAAGATTTGTTTTCAGTAATTTGGAGGAAAAGAGGTTTGTCATCTGTATAATTAGTTGAGCTTTTTTTGAGAGACTTTCTGAAAATAAACATAAGGCACTGTGCTACTTAGAAAAAGACATAACAGATTTGATCAACTTCATTTTAACAAAATGATTACACCAACATCTGTAGTGTATTTTTAGTACAATTTCAGATATGATAGTTACTATGCTTATATTAACATTTCCACTTTGTTCATAGAAATAATTTTATAGTTTATTACTTTTTTGAGTAAACTTACATTTACATATATTCTTTGAAGTATACAAATCTAAATGTCCAGTTTGATGTATGTATTAATTTCCTATAGCATTCTGGAGGTCAGAGGTTCTAAGATCAAGACAGGGCTGGATTTCTTTGGGAATCCCTAGAGGAGAATTTACTTCCTGACCTTTTCTAACTTCTAGGGATGATCTATACTCATTGGCTTGTGGCCCCATCCTGTAGTTTCAAGGTCAGGAGTACAGTATCTTCCAATCTGCCCCTTTCTTTTTTTAAATTTTATTTATTTATGCATGCAAGAGTTGGGGTACAGGCCAGAGGTGCAGGGTGGTGAGAGGATTTACCAAAGACAGAGTAGGGAGTAGAACAGGCAGATCTTCTGAAACACACTGCTGAGGGGAGCAACAGGCAAGACAGGAGAGGTCTGCTGTGCCATGTGGGCAGCTCCCTGGCGGGGGATCAAACTCATGCTCCAGTAGTTGCAAACAGCTCCACAGTGCTGAGGTTTAACCCCTTTCACCACCAGGGAGGCCCAATCTGCCCCTTTCTGATTCTAACCATACTTCTTCCTTCTTGTAAGGGCCCAACTGGATAATTCAGGATAATTCCCCCATTTTAAACTCCTAGACTTAGTTATATTTGCAAAGTATAACTTTGTAGGGTAACATATTCATAGAGATAAGGGGGTCCATTATTCTGACTACCACAACAGTTTTCGTACATGTGAATACTGCTGTGTAAATACTACCCAGGTTACTTTATAGGATATATACAACTTTCAGAGCTCTTTTTTTGATGATTCAGAGAATAATCAAGAATTTTGCAATACCACAGGCTACTTTAGAGTATTCATTATCGTTTAGAACTATAAATTTTCACAAGAGGTCCCCAACAGGGTACTTTTTAAAAAGGAAATCTTCAGTGATTTTATCTAGGATATTTGTTTCTCATTCATGAATATATAAATTTGGCAACAGGTTTGGCAGTTTGAGCTTTGTTTGGTCTCTGGAGAGTGGGAGTATAAAACCCACCGGTTCTCTATGGATTTGAACTTACTAGTACTGGAATTTCTTGATATGCTCTGTCCAACTTGGGACCCATTGATTAAAATGTCAGTTTCCTTTTGTCTTAGGAACGACATCAACTGCAACTCCAGCTCCTGGAGCATGAAACAGAAATGTCAGGGGAAATCTCTTATTCTGACCAGGAAAGGTAAGATATAATGTTCACTGTCTTGTGATGTATTTAGATGGTGTCTGCCTATGGTTTTGTGGGCTCACTTGGCCCTGGCATTTGCCTTCCTTTGGTTATCATATATTGCAGACTGACTGATACAAAACATTGAACTGAGAACTTCCAGTATGAAGCCAGTTTCTTTAGGAACTTACCGGCACATCTTATAGTCCATGGTTGGTTTTTAGTGCCATGGAACACATCAAAGATGGTCAAAAGTGCAAAAGTTCATTCTATAAATGTTCTTCCATAAACTGGAACTTCACAGGATGCACCTTGTTGATGAGAAAATTCATCAACGGTGACTAATACCATTACTGTGGGAACTAATTTAAGATAGTGTTCTTTGTTTCCAAATTCTGCTCAAACTTCGTCTTGTTCTCTGGCTATGTGCACAGAAAATCCTGCAGGAAAAATGCAGAAGTAGTACAGGGTTTCTTCTATAAATCAAGAGGTTGAGAGGCCATGTAGGGGCCCTTTTGAGAAGGAAAATTGGTTGGGATGATTTTAGCATTTTGGAGCAATTGCTTAACCTCCCTGAGGTAAAAGGGGATTCATTTTTAACAGAGAGAAGGATTATGATGATAAGAACAGCCTGTCTCCTTGGGTTATTATTTTGAGGGAATTGTTGGGTATTGCCTGCCACATAGTATATGTTGAAAAATATCTGTTTTTCCTTCCTCTTAATGCAACTATAGCAAAGCTATAGGAATCTTCCCTAGTTTTTAATGCACTGTGGGAGGGACTTGGCAGTGATGGAAGTGGTAAGTGAACCACCCCACTCTTGATCCAGTGCTCCATTCCAGTGCCCACACAACTGTAGGGACCACCTGCTGGTTCCTCTGGTTTCTTTGAACCAGCAAAGTCAGAGGATAATTTGGCTGTTTTAAAACAAAAGTATAAAATGTTTTATGTGGTGGTCTGCTTTGTTTTGATACAGAGAGTTTCTTTCAACATTTATCCCATTTTCCCAAAATAAATGACATGTAGAATAACTATAATTCTAGGCTTCCCTGGACTCTGCCACTTGATTTCAGATTTTTTTTGTGTGTGTTGTTAGGCACCTTTCCTTCTCTGTTCTCCTAATCAATGGAATTTACTGGATGTTCCAATATGTGTTAATCCCCAAACAGAGAGATCTTCATACTTGTATATGATGTTAAAAAAGCTTCTCAGTCCCTGGAAAATATACTAACTGGCCCTATACAGAGTCAAACTTGCAAGAGTCCTCTTGCAAGATTCCCTCTATGGTCGGGTGGTTGACTGGTAGTTAATTACCTAGGACACACAAAAAGTAAAAAGAGTGCATCTTGGAATTCTTTCTTGTTCCTGGCAACATTCTTTTCACACAATTACTGTCTATTCTTGTTTTGCTGCTTTGGTTTAGGACTCAGAAGCTTATTCCTCTCTTTGTGTTAGGTATCAGCAGTTGGAGGAGGCGTCTGCCAGCCTCCGTGAACGTATCAGACACCTGGATGACATGGTGCATTGTCAGCAGAAGAAGGTCAAGCAGATGGTTGAGGAGGTAAGCCCTTGTAAAAGATCATGGGCTCCAGATTTCTTCCTGTGAGGGGACAGTCCAGCCCCAGAACCAGACCAAACCCTCTGTGAACGTGCTCAGGCCACCACCAACTTGTCTGGGAGGGGAATTCTCATATATCCCCTGTGGACTAGTGATTATCCCTCTAAAAGAGGACCTTCTCCATCTCTAAGGGTTACTGTTTAGAAATCTATGAATTGCAGTTTACCCTCTTTCAGATGATTGTGATACCCTGTGCGGGTGTCTACAGCTCAGGAGCAAAGGGTGTAGGCAGAAAAGTTGACCGTAGATCAGCTCTCTGATCTCCCCAGAATCAATTAACCACTCTTGTCCTTTCTTTACATCTGGGAGTTCTTATATTCTTTTTCCCTGTTTGTTCCTCTCTTTTTTTTTCTCCTTTCCTTACTGTATTCTCCCACTTTTGTTTCTCATTCATCTTTTTTCTACCATCCTTTCTCTTCTTAATTTCCTATGTAATATGAAAACAGTTATATGTTTACTCTATGCAGGACATAGCTTAATATTCTGTTTTTGTAATTAAAAAAAGCAGGTAAGTGGAACATTGATTAGAAAACTTGCTATTATAATTTTTCTCCCTTGTGGTATTACTCAATTGAAGAAAGTCCGTGTTGTAGTAAAGTTAATCCTGTAGCATTGAGATTTTTTTTTCCTATGCTATTAAAAAATCAGGTAGGAAAAAAAAGGACAATTAGGACTAATCAGGTTATAAGAATTCTCTAGGGTCTAATTCTCTAACTTACAAAGTAGAGAAAAGGCTTCACCTTAATTAAACATTTGATTAACAGTGGAAAAACTGAAAAAATTTCTTACATTGAATACTGTTCTGAAATGTTATCTATTAATGAAGTAAAAGTTTATTAATGAACTAAATTTAAGAGTATATCTACTTTTAATTAAGAATTCACACACGACAGACAAATAGAAGATTAAAAGTATATCTTTTATTAATCCATAAAATGTTGGCGAGATTAGTGGAATGGGATTAAGGTCAGAGAACTGTGAAGGATGCAGAACAATTGCTGGTCTTATGAGTAAGACAATCATATACATTAGATAAAATCTGTTCCCTAAGTCCGCTCATACTCTGTTGAATCTTGTGAACCCTATATTGGCTTAAATGCAAGTATTGGGAGTAGTAGGATAAGAGAATGGGGAGCAGAAGTTCAGTGGGAAACCATGCATGCAGCCCCTTTGCCGCCCCTCAGGCATGCTGCCAGCAGCGGGATGGGGAGATCCTGCCCACTCACCACCACCAGAGCACCCTCAGAGTGTGTTTCCCAAGGAAATGCATTGGTTTGTCTCAATTAGTGTTCCTGGCAACTTTGGCCATCCTATCACAGCTCTTTCTGCTTCTGAATGTCCCACACGTGAAGTCTGGGATAAGGCTCTCCCTTTTTAAAACCCCATGTGGCTCCTTGACCATGGAGTACATCTCTCCTCCCTTACCATGAGCAAAACCTTATACTGTTGTTTCTGATTCAGTTATTACCTATAGGAATTTAAGTTTGGTACCAACATCAGAGACACTTATAAAAGACACTTTCCCAAAAAGTTTAGGGTTCTTTGTGTTCTAACTTACCTCTGTTCTATGATGAAGAAATATTTATACATGAAAATAGGTATGTATGTATTATTTATTTATTTATTTTTTGGGGGGATAGTTTTTTTATTTAAATATTTTATTTTATATAATTCTTACATCTTTTTTCTTTTTTTATCATAAATGTGTTTTTTTAAATAAATTTTATTTTTATATTCCCCATACAATAGATGTGTATTTAAAGGTCACTGTCCATGTTTTACCTTTCTACCTGTGATTTAATAGCTCCTAAATAAGTTTCTCCAAGTTCAGAGGATGTAATCCGGAGGACCCAGTCATGGAAATGAAATCACAAGCTAAATTTCCATGTCCTCATCAGAGTTAGCGCCATCTAGTGGTTGACTGTGTTTCAACAGTGGATGAGCAGAGAGGGCACACACCTTTTTCTGAATTTAAACAACTGCCTAGGTCAGGTAGTAAAAATTAATGTGTCCAGTACACCATGTTAACTTATACAACCAAAAAATGCTTTGAAAATCTTAGTTGTTGTAGTAATTTATGTGAATACATTTTTTAAAAACATTGGAAACATGGAAGAGGGACTTCAAAAGAATAGAATCAGTTGGAAAGGAGTTAAGTGCTGTAGAAATTCATGCATCAATTGAAAGAAGTGGGGAAGAGATGGCCAAGGAGAGATGTGAAAGTTGAATTCACATCTTTGAAAGTAATCATTGAGAAGTATTTTTATTTTTTATTGTAATGCAAAGCCAGGCTAGAACCACTGGGTGGCACTTGCAAAAGAGGCAGATCTCAGCATTTCATTCAATATAAAGAAAACATATCTGGAAACATATTTAGTCCTTCATCATGGGTGTCATTTTGGTCATACCATCTATGAAGAAACTTAGTTTCTGCAAATGATAGACTTCTTTTCTCAACTCAAAACATCCAGGTAAAATTTCTGAGTTCTTAGAATCCATAAACATTAAGCAATGTTTGCTTCCGCCTCTGTTGGATGTATTTTAATCATCATCATCATCAACTGAATAAAAAGTTACTGGCTTAAATACTGTAGTCCTTAACCCTATAATGACTTGGTTTTCAGGACATGTGCACCTAGGAAGGACTAGTGGTGGACAGAGACAGGATAGGCATTTTGAAATGAAAGATTAATATATAACTCAAAAATTATTTATAAAAAATTATTTATAGGCTCAAAAATTATTTATAAAAATCAACACAAAGTGTCTTGTGTGAAGTGTGGCACCAGATACTCCTTCAGGCTAGATCTTTCTGCTAAAATGTCTCTCTTCATGGTGGATGACTAGGATTGGCAATCTCCTTGGCATCACAAGGTCTCTAACTAATTCTGACTGACCAAAAAAAAATGAACAACAAAAGCAAAGTAGAAGAACCATACTGTCCCCCTTTTGGACTTTAAAGGGTTTGCCAGAAAATATAGAGCTACTGAAAAAAAAGCACTTGGGAAAACACCGCATCCATCCATTCACCATGTCTGTGCCCAGGCTGTGTCCATGTGGGGAACAGTTCAGATGTGGTCCTGCTCTCCTGCTTCTTACCATCTTGTATTACTTGACTTCTGGAGTAATCCTTGCCTTTGGACTTCATTCTTCTGTTGAAAAATCTCCTTGGCATTAGGTCCCATTGTTTAGAATCTGCCTGCATTATTCAGCTTACCTTTAAAAGAACCAGATCAGGGAGGAGCAAGTCTGGGAGGAACCTGAGGACAGAGCAGTGACACACCTTGACACATCTTTAATTGCTATTTCTCCATCACCAGGGACATGCACTCCTCTCTATTGGCCACTAACCATTCCCAGTCCCCTGTCAACCAAAGCAGCTTTCCTGCAAAGGGGAAAATTATCTGGAGGAAAAAACAAATTCTTATTTGTCCTCAAGAATGGTTGATTTACATTTTTGACAGTGGAAATGATAGTACTCAACTGAATAAATAGTAGTTTAATAAGAGTTCCTTTCCCTTTTGCAGTCAATATTAAGTATCCTTTTGTTTTATCATTTCCTTCTTCAGATTTCCCATTGCCATTTGGAATAAGTGAAATGCTTCTTCCAACAGAAAGTATCTGAAGGGTTTCCCTTCAGTTGCAGAGGAAGCAAATGTACTGTCCCCAATTCACCCTCTATAATTTAGAATTTTAATTTGTGCAAAGAGGTGAGGAATTTATTTTCTTATTAGTGCCTCTCCACCCAGGCTGCACTTTAGAATCATTTAGGAACTTCAAAAAAAAAAAAAATGCCAGAGTCATTTAGGTGACCATGGAGGGAGTGGGGGGAAATGGGTTTGGGTTTTTTGGTTGTGTGTGTGTTTTGTTTGTTTTAGTTTATATTTTAAGTTCCACAAGATCCCAATATGCAACCATGATTGAGAACCCATGTGCTGAAAATCTGTCAGCACAGTGACTTGGGTCTTGGTTTTCCTATGTTAGTATATTCATCCAGCCTCCCTCAGAAACTGCTCCACCTGAGGTGGAAAGCTGGTGGTGAACTTGGAGTAGGAAGACTGTAGGGAAGAGACCCAGGAAGACCAGTCAGCAGGGCCCAGGAGCACTGACACAGGAGACCTGGTCCGTGTCTATGGCTGCCGACGGCCCTGTCAGGGCCTCTAGCGTCTCTTGCCAGCCCTGTCCACAGAGGAGTTCATGACAGCTGGCTCTTCATAGCCATCCTGGTCTGGTAGTATCCAGGTAACAAAAACTGCCCAGAGACTGTCCAAAGCTACCTAAGGAGAAGTTGTTACTAAGGCTGATAGATGAGGCTCACTTGTTTGACAGATACTAGAATCTTAAAGGGACAGAATCCAATCCACCTCATGTCCTTGACAGCTGAGATCCTCCACTAGTAAACCAGACATGGTCCTTGTGACCCTCTTCCCATTGTGCTTGCACGTGCACATGTGCACTAGCCACTTCCTTCTATACAGTCGACCTCACGCTTGGCCACGCTGCACCTCTGTTGTAACAAAGAACACAGTACCTTGCTGAAATGATAGTAATAACAATGACCACTTCTTGAGTGTAAGATGTAAACCTACACGCAGCCCCTGCAGCTAGAGGCCTGAATAGATTTCAGTGGAAGGTGGCCAAGTGGAGAGGAGCATGGACTTTAGAATCAGGAAGGCCAGCACTTACCAGTTATGGGACCATCAAAAAGTGTTTTGTTGTTTGTAAGCCAGGGCTGCTAACAGTATTTATTTGAATACTATCATCAAAGCTGAACCTTTTTGCAATTCCTGAGAAATGGTTTCGAAAGTATTTAATAATCATCCCTAAGATTTTTTGAAGAGTGATGCAATTATCATAAAGCAATAGTGTTTTTGGGAAAACAAACTGCATCAGGAAGAACAGAGGATAAGTGGAGTTGAGGCTTTCAGTTTCTGAGTTTTGTC